TTCACCTTTTCCCCCTCAACAGGTTTGATGTCATATACCCCAGAGTTATGTTCTTGAAAAGAATATAGTAGAATGTTTTCATATGTTAATGTTTATATTATCGTTGTCTATATTACAACCAAATATCACCCCCCCAGTCAAGAACTTTTAGTTCTTATCATACACAACCGCTGTGGTTTTTTTACATGTCATCATGTTGCTGTTGCTTTCATTCCCCGTGTTTTAGTGTTCTCTCCCCAAAATAAGCTATTACTATGTATTTAAAAAACCCTCTGTCTTAATATGCACTGAAGCCAGCCTATAAGCTGACTAGGTTTTTGGCTTATAGTTTCTTTTTTGACATCGCCAACATTTCTTGGGGGTTTATTTCTTCCTGAAGGACACTCTTGAGTAGTTCTTCCAGCAAGGGTCAGTGAATATGACTGTTTTTGTTCTTTGTCTGAAAGTGTCTTTATTTTACTTTCTCCACCTTAGCCCTTCAAAGAAATTATTCCATGGCTTTCTGGCCACTGCCACTGTTGTTGAAAAATATATAGTTTGAGCGTGTATTTTTCAAGGTAAATTGTTCATGAATTGTTCTCCTGGTTTCCTATAGTTCTTCGAGCATTTTCAAGACAGTTGATTTAAAATTGTTGTCTATTAAGTTTAATATCTGGCCACTTTCAGGAATGGTTTCTATTGTTTTCTGTGCGTGGGCCTAACCTTTTTTCTTTGTTTTATATGCCACGTAATTCTTCAAAAACTGAGAATTTTGAGTACGATAATGTCGTTACTCTGAAAACCACATTCTCCCTTCTCCCCAGGTTAGTAGCTGCTGCTTGTGAGTTGCAGTCATTTGTATGTGTAGTGACTTTTTCTAAACTACTTTTTGAAAAACTGCATTATTTGCTCTTGTGTGGCCACTGAAGCCTCTGTTTCATTAGCTTGAAAGTCAGGTAGTGATTGGACGGGCATTTCCGTAAATATCTGGAAACAAACAAACGGAAACGCCCGGCCAGTCTTGGCAGGCTGGCTTTGGGCTGTGGCGCTGCTTCAGCACGGAGGCTGTTTGCAGCTCTGCGTTTCCACCTGCTGCTTGTGCAGAGCGTCGAGGTCAGCCAGAGTTGAAAGCTTAGAGTCTTTTCCTAGAATGCATTCAGGCCTGGGCATGTGCACGGCCTTCTAAATCCCCTGGTGCAGGGAGAAGCTTTTCATAGCTCTGATTCCTCCACAGGTCTCCTTCCCCACCCTCTGCCTTCACACACTTCTGGTCTGTCTGCCGCTTGCCTCGTGTGTTTTCCCTTATCCCAGGCGGCTATGGGTAGTTAGTATATTTGCCAAATTCTCTCTAGGAGGCTGCTTCGGCCCTGAGTAACCTCCGAGGCAGGTGAAACAAAGGCAAGTCTCCGGGCCAACCCCTCAGGGAGCCACCAGACAGGCCAAACCACACGTCATAGTTCTTTGAGAACAAGGTCTGTGTTGTTCCCTTTGCCACCGACCAGAAATGTGGCCAGGAATGTGGACTGTCGTCTCTGCGACTCCCGGGAAGCTGGAGAGCAAGCGACGGCAGGCGCGGAAGGTGGAATGGCAGGCGCGGAAGGTGGAATGTCGTAACGCTCGCTTACCCGAATTCAACAGCTGATTTCTTCATTGAGCATTCCCCCTGGTTATTATACGTTTTTTAAAAATGAGATTCCAGAGTTCTGAAAAAGTTGATTCTGATGGGGTTGACAGCCCGGCCATTGCTTTGACGGAGGGGTAGACTTCCAGAGTTCCTTACCCTGCCGCTTTCACGTCACCCGTGAAGTCTCGAGGGTTCTCAGTTCGTATCATTTTGGGTGTTTCCTCCCCTGCCTTCTCCCGAGCCTCTTCCTCTGGAACTCCTCTTAGGCTTGTGCTGGGCTTTTCCATTCCATACCCTCTGTCTCGACTTCTGTTATATTTTCTCCATCTCTCAGTGCTGTGTTCTGGGTAGTTTCTCTACATCCTTTCGTTCACGAACTCTCCGGCGTGTCCTGATACGCTTTTTAAACCCATCTAGTGACGTTTTTATTTCAGTAACCGTAACAGGGTGGGACAAAAGCACGTTTACAGTTGTGAGTGCACAAAACACAGACTTTATTCTTGTTTTGTTACTTGTGAATTATTGTATGGTTTTCCATATGAACAACCGTAAACCTACTTTTGCCTCACCTTGTATGTTTAATTCTGGACGTTATATTTTGCACTTCACAACAGATCTGTCTAGCCCTGACCTGGCAGCTCGGTTGGCTGGAGCATCGTCCCGATGTGCCAGGGATGCAGGCCTGACCCCCAGCAGGACGCGTGCAGCGGGCCACCAGTGGAGGCAGAAATGAGAGGGAGTCAGAGTCTCTCTCTCTCTCTCTCCACCCTCTTCCTCTCTCTCCCAAATCAATGAAAAAATTACCATTATCAAATACATCTGTCTACTCTATCCTCATAATGTCTTATTCTTTTCTTAGGGCTCTTATTTATGTCTTTAATACTTTTAAATATATTTCCTTTTTTCCCACAGCTCTTCAATTGCCTTATATTTTCAGTGTTCTAATCCTCCCATTCGTTATGTTTGCCGATTCTTGATTCTTAGTCATGGGGATTTTAAGAGAAGACGCTTTGTAGTTTCGAACTGTGAGTTCGTTTTTGAGAAGGCATCTCCCCCACCCCCAACACCCATCCCGAGAGACTCTCCTTAGGCTTTGGTTGTGATTTCGTATTTGTTTCTGTCAAGGGTCCCATGGATAGTACATCATCAAAATATCATCAAGTTGGGATCAGTTTTTATGCAAATTCTCAGGCATTACGTTTTCTAAGCTGCATAAGATTTCTAAGCTGAAGGTAGTAAAAATTCAAACCAAAAATGTATAAAGTCCGGGCTCAAGATTTCTGTTTCTCAAGGTGGTTTTTGTTTGTTCGTTTGCTTGCTTTTTTCACTCAAAGCTCAGGCAGAGATGAACATCTCTTGTTCCATCATCTTGCTTTCTCGTTCCTCTGTGTGGGGGAAGGGCGTGCGTGTTCTTTGTCCTCTCCCTGAGGGTGTCCTCTTTGCAGATTTCTGGCTCTATGCAGGGCTCTCAGTTCTAAGTCCCCACTTTGCTTGGGGCCGAGGCCTCATTCCTGGCGCGAGGGTGGAAGCAAACCCACCCTCCGGGTTTCTGCGGTAGCACTTACGAGCCCTCCCACCCACGCTGCAGTGGCTCATCCCACCACCGTTCCTGTTCTCCATTTCCCACGCTGGTGGGTCTGCCCTTTCTGTTCTTGCCAGCTCGGCCCTTCAGTTAAAGCAGCAGTAGCTACATTCCCCCTAGTAGTTTAGGTGACGACTGAAGTTTAGGCAAGCGCAGCAGGAGAATTTTCAGGGTTCCCTGATTTTTCATCTTGCTGCAATCAAAAGTGTCTTCTCTCAAACTCCTGGGTGGGGAACTTATTCTCTGCCTGTCCCTTTATTTTGTCCTCTGCTTATCCCTTTTCTAGAGTCTTATTTGGCCCTCTTCTCCTTTCTGGCTGCACTGGGGTCCTCACATACTTCCCTGAGACTTGTGGATCCCTGGACCCTAATAACCTTTTTTTTTTTAAGATTTTATTTATTTATTTTTAGGGAGAGGTGGAGGGAGGGAGAAAGAGGGGGAGAGAAACATCAGTGTGCTGTTGCCTCTCACATGCTCCTTACTACTGGGGACCTGGACCGCAACCCAGGCATGTGCCCTGACTGGGAATCAAACCAGCAACCTCCTGGTTGGCTGGCTGTCACTCAATCCACTGAACCACACCAGCCAGGGCCCTAATGACCTTTTTTTCATCCTTACTCAAAGATATGTTTTTATTGATTTTAGAGAAAGGAAGGGGAGAGGGAGAGAGGGGGGAAGGGAGGGAGGGAGGGAGGTCGAGGGGGGGAGAGAGAGAGATGTGAGAGACAAATATCAATCGGTTGCCTCCCATACATGACCAGGCCAGGATTCCCTGACCAGGAATCAAACTTGGAACCTAGGTATGCACCCTGAGTGGGAATCGAACCTGTAACCTAGGTATGTGCCCTGACCAGGAATCGAACCTGCAACCTTTTGATGTATGAGACAACGTTCCAACCAACTGAACCACCCGGCCAGGGCTGGACCCTAATAATTTTTAACAAGTTGGCAGGACAGAGTGTAGTTAAGGACTCAGATTCTACTGACAAAGCTGGGTTTGAATCTTTTTTTTCTGCCACTTCCTGGCTGAGCTACCTAGGGCAAGTTACTTGGCCATGCGGAGCCCATTTCACACGTGAAGTGAGTGAACCACTGAGCACAGGACTCTGGAGGCATGGTGTGAATGTGCGGTGGAGAAGGGGGCCTTGGGCGAGGCGGGAGTTAGGGGTAGGTGTGCTCCGTGGCTGCACAGGTAACGGGCAGGCCTTCGAGCCCTCGGGCTCCCCCTCCGGCACCTCACGTGCACTGCTCAGGCACAGCCGCCGAAGCCAGTGCTGCTGCCCTGCTCTGACCCGTGAGGACGCGGAGGCTGGAAGGGGCTGGGTGACTCGCCTCCTCCTGTTCCTTGCAGTGGAGGGCCGCTTCAGTGAACACGCTTTACGGGGGTCCTCACTGGAGACCTGGGGCTGCTTTAGAAGTGGCTTTGCAAAAAAAATTCTCATTCGGTTTTACTGATTTATGGGAAGATTGTGTTTTTTTTCTTTGCATTCGGGGAACGGGGTGCCTTTTGGGTGATCTCCCCAGTCAGATGGGAGCCGGCACAGGAGTTGGGGGCGGGGAAGGTAGTTGCTACACCTCCCCTCCGCCCAAGGAGAGCGAAGCCCTTAGGGAAGCGAAGACCTTGTGGTTTGGCCATGGGGTGGGTGAGAGGCTCCTGCCCCAAGCTGGGCTTTTTTGGAGACTTTTCTGCCCCAGCCCCACCCACCAAAGGTGCTGAGCCCAGGTCTGGGCACTGACGTGGGAGGTGAGGCCTCTCTCGGGCAACACTTAAGGAGGCTCACCGGCCTGCGGCGCCGCGCGCTGCCCCGCACTTACAGTGATGGGCCACAGGATAAAGGGCATGAACCTCTGGATGGCGAAGGTGTGGACGATGATGAAAAAGGAGAAGATGGACACTTCCATGGTGATGACAAGTGTCAGGAGGGGGTGCACGGTGGTCCCGGTGAACATGATCATTGCAGCTATTAGGCAGCCCTGCCGGGAGACATAAGCCTGAGCCGCCTCAAAGGGTTCTCCCTGCTCCCGAGCCCCTCAGGAGACCTCTGGAGCCCGCTCCTCCCTCCCTCTGTCGCTGGGGCCCCGCCCGCCCGGGGATATCAGGCCCACTCACCAAGCTTAGGATCTTGACCTCCGCGTGCCCCATAACCCAGAACTCTCTGTTGCTGTCCTTGAATTCCCACTTGTAGCGGCGACATCCCTTCCTGGTGCCCACTTGATCCTTGGGCTGTACCGATTTTATCTTTGGCGGCGCCTCCTCTTTCTGATCGCCCGGTTTGGCGTCTTTGGGTGGGGGTGCCGCCGCGGGTGGGGGTGCCGCGGCTGGGGGTGGGGGCGCTCCCGGTTTGCCCTTTTTGCCTTTGTCTGCCATATTTGCGTGGGACTCCTCAGCTTCTCACGGCCTGCCCAATTTCCCTGCTGTCCCTGGACAGGCCTGGCCTTTGAACCAGCCTGGTGCCAACTAGCTTCCTCAGAGGCCACCCTCAGCCAACGGCCAAGACCGGCTAGGCTAACGCTTGGCGCCTTTAACGCGCGCGCGCGCACCCGCGCGCCCCTTCTCACTGCGCAGGGCTCGCCCACCGCACTGCGAGGCCCAGGTGTCGGCCCACCCCCCACGCAGGAGCCCCCGCCCCACCTCCGGGCCCACCCCCCAGGGGCCCACCTCTGCCCGGAGCTCCCCTCGAGGTCCAGCGCAGCCTCGCAAGGTGGCCCCAGGGTGGGGTCAAGGCCTCGCCGTGGCCCCCCGGGACAGCTGTGCCCAGTGCCCCAAGGGCGTACCGGCCTGTGCAGGAAAATGTAACTCGACTTGTACACAAGGCAACACGTGGAAGCAGAAGTGTTCCCGACTGAGCAGCCCTGATTTTATGATCACGTACGGGCCGAAATGGGTGACAGAATGTGAGCTCAGTGGTGGGACGTGTGGGGGGGAGACGCAGTCCCTGGTGCTGCCAAAGGTGCCTGCAAGGGTGCCCGCGAGGGCGTCGGAGAGGGTGCCCGCGCGGGTGCCGGAGAGGGTGTGGGGGTGAGCGCCACCGGGGGTTCTGGGGCGGGTTTTGCCGGGCCTGGGGAGGAACTGGTTTCGCCTCCGAATGTCAGCGCTGATTTCATGAGATTCCTCATCTTCTTGGTGACCACAATCGCATCGATGAGACACACGATCACCGCACTGAGACACAGGGACTGTCAGACACAGGACCATGTGCAGGAAGGAAAGGAGGGGTTATTCTGCAGCTCAGGAGCAACCTGTCTTCCTCATCCCCCTCCCTGGATGCGGGCTGCCTCTTGTCCCTCTCTGACCCTCCAGCGCCTGCTGTGACCCTTTCTGCTGCTCCTCGGAGAAGGAATTTTGGAAATGGTGGGTTTTGCTGCCAGTCATGGCCTCACCGGATTCCTGAGGCACAGGAAAGGACCAGAGGTGGGCATTGGCCTTAGGAGGCTCCAGGTGGGGTTGGGGTCCTGAGAGGGTGCTTGGAGGACAGAACTCTTGGGCTAAGTTTGAAAGGGCGGGAAGGAGTTCCCATGGGAACCAGCTGGGAGGAGGACTCCAGGTGCTGGACTGAGGTCTCCTTGGAATCTGAGCTGGCTGATGAGCTGTTGAGGGAGCGGGCAGAGCCGAGGCAGGGGAAGTGCAGGGTCTGGGACTTGATCAAGGAGAGGTCAGCTGGCAGACTCATAAAGCCCACTTGCCGAGTGGGGAGGAGACTGGAGAGCAAACCAGGCTGGAGGCAGGGGGAGCAGTGGATGGTGGTGGGGCTCCTGCCATCCAGGTAAGGACTGATGGAGACCAGGGAGTGGGAGCCCCTGGCAGGTAGGAGAAGACTTGGTGGCTGAGTTAGCAGATGGGGATCAGCTGTCTGCATGGGATGTTTCTCTTTCTGGTCACTCCTGCTTAATCCCCTGGCTGTTTCCCTGAACTTTTCCCAGGTGGGTGCTACCCCATCTAATCTGTGAGCTGCCCCAGGGGGCACGAATTCTCACCTTGGCATTAAGCCCGGCACTATCCAATGGGGTTGGCAAGTATTTACTGATTATGGAATGAATTCAAAGAACTTAAACTTTTTCGTTCTGGATTAATTTGTTACCATTGCTTAACTTCTCTTGAATCAAAGTCTCACCTCCCCACTCCCCACCCCACATCTCCCAAGCGTGTAATCTGCCATATTTTGGGCTCTTTCTATGAGGGTTTGAGTCCCAGCCCATCCCGGCCTGGTGACCCAGGGCAAGGCATCTAACACCATGTCTGTACAATGAGTTGTAAGGATGAGGTAAGAACGTGCCTTGCCTCGTGTGGGGCACACGCTGGGAAGCTCCTTTCTCCCTTCCTGCATAGGCTGGGACTCGCTGTCGACCATCCACTCTCCACTCCAATCATTGTTTTCATGTGCCTTTAAAATACTCTCTAATCCAGAATAGGCAGAGTCCTATTTATAGACTTATTGCAAGGGTTCAAAAAATTGTGCATACGATTCTGAAAAGGGGGCTCTGCAGATTCGTTTTTGTCCCTCTTTGGAGAATGAGTATTGGAAGGAAGGCTCTCTTGAGCTTAGCGTTTGCGTAACTTCACATCTTCTGAGGTTGATGGGGGAAGAAAGGGAAGGGGTGGTGGTGAGGATGTTGTTCTGGAAGTGAAATCATGAAGGCCTGCCAGCTTCCCTTTTCAAAGGGTCTTGACACACTCATCTACAATGGAGTCTCGAAGGCCTCTACTTACCCCTCCAACATAGAATAAATGCCTTCTTTCCTTTTCTTGCATTGCCAAGACAGCAACTATTAAAAGGAACATAGTTGTAATGAAACTGTTGATAAGATCCTGTAATACAGAATTAAACATCGTCAACTTTACATGAAAATGTAATTTCACAAAATATTTAAGTTGGTCAGTCACCCAGCTAAGGATAGATGCCTTTTGAAAACTTTCCCTTTGATGGAGAGGAACCTCCAGCAGCATAATTCTTACATCTTCCAGAGACATGAGTTTATGGGACTTGGAGGTCCTGGATAAGACTTTGTCAATAGAAATGGGTTTAATTTCATCAAAGAATGCCATTTAAAAAAAGGCTGACAACTTTTCCACTAGATTTTTCTTAAAGGCCATAGAAAGGTGAGCACAGAAAAAAACCTAGAGCCCTGCCTGGTGTGGTTCAGTGGATTGAGTGCCGCCCTGTGAATCAAAGGGTCACTGGTTCGATTCCTAGTCAGGGCACATGCCTGAGTTGCAGGCCAGGTCCTCAATAGGGGGCACTCGAGAGAAAACCACTCACTGATGTTTCTGTCCCCCTCTCTCTCTCCCTTCCCCTCTTTCTAAATATAAATAAATAAATACATACATACCCCTAGGGATCTGGGGGCCTACCCCATATTGATTTTCCATAAATATGATTTTTGAAGCCTTATATTTTAAATTAATGTACTTCTGTAGTCTATTTCACACTACATTTGTTTTAATATAAAAATAAAATTTTAGAGTAGGACTTCCCCAATTTAATTCCACTCCCAAATCTGCAGGTGGAACTGAGCCTTTGGAAGTTGGGTCATATTTATTCTGTAGGTTCACACATCTAAGGAAGTTGGGAACCCATCCGAGGAGCAGGCCAGGCATTGCAGGGTAAATGCCTTGTGCTGTCGACACGTGCTGTTTCCTAAGATGGGGCCCTGACATCTACAGGCTAGTGTGTCCTTCCCTCTGCACTTCGGCACTGGGTTCTTCAACTGCTAAAGAAAGGGCGAGGATGAGTGGGTGGGGGTGTATTCCTGAGGACAGGAGAGGCTGGGCTTTGGTAGTGGAACAGTAAAGGAAGAGACTGGCAAAAGCCCAGGGCGATAGAATGACCGTGTGGCTCAGATGTCTAATTTGAACATTTTTCGTTTTCAAGTGGCCTGGCTTGGTAGTGTCAGCCTGCCTGGTGTGCTTCCCCAGACACGGCAGGGGCCCTGCCATCCTGGGTGTGGCGTCCTGGTGGCTGCCATGGAGCTCTCCCGTGGGCCAAGCCTCCCCCCCATCATTATCTCATTTAACCCCTGGAGAGCACCCCAAAAAGTCGGTGTGCTTACGTTCTCCACTGAAGAAGATGTAACGGGCTCAGAGAGGTTTGTTAAAGTGCCTGAGATCGCACATCTGCCGAGGAGAGACCCCCAAGCAAGGAGGAAAGGAACCATCCCCCTAGGCTGGACGTGCAGCACCTGCCTTTGACACTTTCTGCGGGGTGGGCTGTGGGGGGTCACAAGGGACAGGACAGAAGAGGTGATGGTGCCTTTTGCTGATGTCACATGTCGAACTCATTTTTGGCCTGCCAGTTCCTAGACGTGTGACCTGGGGCACGTTTTACCACTCCCTTGCACCCACACGCTAGTTTGTAACATGAAGATAATCCCTGGGGCTCACTGGGTTGATCTGAGGACTCCATGGCATAAGGAATCCGAAGGCATCAGGTAGGATGCCCGGCATTTGTGGGTGGTGGGAGTGCATCAACATGCAGATTGGAGACATCTGTCCTCAAAATATGCACAGATAGCAAAGTTGGCAAACTCCAGATGTTTTCCCTATTGAGATTGGCAAGCAAGGAACCCTTTTGTGGGGGGTGAACTTGCTTCTTGGAAGGGCACTGATGTCTCGTTGGACACCCGGCGGGGAACCCTGGAAGGCGTACATGGAACAGGGCTGGTGAGGGTTGGAAGTAGGTTCCAGGTGGTTCTGTAGGCTGAGCGACTGGTCTGGCAACTGTGGGACAGGTACGGTGGTTTGCAGCTCTGCGGGAAACCTGGTACCCGAGGTCTGTGCAACTAAGATGTTCAAAGATGTGAATGAGGACTATTATAAGTAAGAAGCAGAGTGTAGACTGGTTAAAATAAAAGTTAACTAGCTGTGGTCATAGACCATTGAGAACTTGGGTGAAAATACACTAATCATGATGACAATAATAAACCAAATGCAGAGCAGGCCTACCTAGCCAGCCGCTGACTCCCTGTCACGAATCCATCTCCTTGTTGGACTCCTGGATGGTACAGTTCACTCTGACCCTTACCCGAAAGGAAGTGCCCTCCTGAACTGTCCCCAGGGGCCAATGTTTGCCTTGCACCTGACATTTCCACAGTAGCCCACCTTTCTTGAGCACTTACTATGTGTCACGTTCTGTGCCAAGGTGTTAATATGTGATCTCATTTGATTCTCACAACAAAATGTCATGATCTCCAACTTACAGATGAGGAGGCAACTTACCAGAGGTTGTCTAGCCAGTAAGTGGCCATGACCCTCAGCAGTCTGACTTGAGTGTCCAAGGGCCTTCTCCTGACTACCCCCTCCCCCTTTTGCCTGAGACACAGACCCTCTTATTAACCTCATCTTTGACAGAGAGATGCATTCTCCGTGATCGG